CCAAATATCTGTCAAAGACTTTGCAGGTGAAGTTGGAAACCAAAGTGCTGACCCAGGTGCAAGAACAGATATTGCTTTAACAACTGCAATGAAACATGCAGATACTATGTTTGTACTGTTCAGACGAACTATAAATGACTATTCTTGTTTCTACAACCCCGGTATTAAATATCATATAAACATAGATGGCAAATATTATCCAAGAGAAGAATATTCTACAGTTGAGGATATGAGGTCATACAACTTGACATTAGATGCTATGAACTTTAACAACAATTTCACAACAACCATTAACCCTGAAATGCAAAGTTCTATTATGCCATATGTGAAAGTATGGACTCATACAGGAGGTCAAAAAACTCAATATACAAATGGAGACCGTTCAAACTTTTGGCTTGGCATTCCATTTGCTGACTCAGAAGACTTTATGGGTGGTATTTCAACTGTTGGTACTGTACAAATACAATATACTGGTGACAGAGACGGTCCAGATGAACTGAGAGCAAAGAAGTTTACAAAACCAATAGCACTTTTCACGGAAGATGCTCTTTTGAAGATTCGTTCGATGAAACCTGCTGGGGCTCCTCAGATTGGCATAACGACAGCTTCCATCGAGCAGATTTTGGCAGCAGGTCAGTAAGTTGTTCTTGAACTGACTTCTCTCCGTCAAATATTGACAGTACGCCAGTTTTGACATAATATTGTAAGATAAACTTACCTTTAGAAATATCTGTAAGTTTTGTTGTTATATTTTTGTCAACGTCAAGAACTTTCACCATTTCAGTTATACCAACTTTCTTTGCTTTATGAAAATATTTAGGTTCAGCAAAGACTGCTATTCTATAACATTTACCATTGTTTGTATAAAGAACTATTCTGTCAATGTATTTGTATTGTTTGTGTGTGTAAACTTTGTTCTGCTTCAATTCGAAGAGATACTCGAATACGTCCATCTTTTTATTCTAAGTAAAATGTCATTTCCGAAAAATAGAAGCGTGAGTGTTTCAAAAGGTTTAATGGCGGTGGCAGATGTGAAGTTAAATTCACCAACTCAAACAAACAGTCAAAGTGTTGTTGTCAATGTCAAAGACAGAGATGTTGAAGTGGGGAAACCATACGAAGACGAAGATGGTATAACAATTGTTCCTGTAAAAGAACAACCAACATATCCTGAAGTTAGCAGAGACTTAAGTTCTGTTGCAGATATTCGAAACGACTACCAACAACTGAAAGACAAACTTCAAACTCAGGAGAAGATTTGTCAAGCTTTAGGTATAATGTTAAACTTGGTCGAACACAACCCTGTAAAAGTGAACTCATATGTCATTGCACCTCATGAAGTCTTGAAAGAACTATTGAAACTTTTGACAGAGGCAGACGATATAAACATCAAAGAAATAGAACCCGACATTAGTTGCTGTGGTGTTTCATATAATGTCATTGACAAGATATACGTTATGAAAGGAGGTGAAACGTTGAACTTAAAGTATAGTTTCCCAGACGTTATAAAAATATTTGACGACCACAACATTTCATTAAAATTTATTTGCTAAGTAAATGGCAGAAGATATAATGGTTTATACTATTACGACTAAAAACCCTGAGTCATATAATTCTATAACAACAAACTTACAAAGTCCTCAAGGACGATATTGTAAACTAACCTTAAACACAATGACGACTAAAGCCTGTTTTGCTCTTTTGACACCAGAAGACTTTATTGTTGTGAATGGTAAAAAATACTCCTTTGAAGATACTTACTCAGATATACCACCAACAGGTTTTGTTGACTTATTTAATACTTTAAGACGGGTGTAACATGTGCTGCAACTAGAGCAGGTTTCATTATGTTTGGATGTCCGACTGAGTTTACTATAAACGATATGAGCTATAATACAAAACTTATTTCTGGTTTTTACTACCAACAGTTTCCTATAACAGGAAAAGGTGTCATACAAGGAATGTCTATTCCATTGACATTAAGCACACCAATCTTATATATTGTTTCAAACTTAGGTTCAAAGTGTTATTCGAATGTCGACAGAAACTATTATGACCAAAAGATACTTATGCGTATAAACAATACTTTCTCTGCTGGTTTGCCTATTGTTCATTCGAATGCAGAATTTTCAACCTTAGTGAACTCAAACACTTTGGCAAGTATAACGTTGACATTAGTTGACGCAAACTTTGTTCCTGTAAAACTTTTATGTCCTATGTATTTGTCAATGACGGCAGAAAGTTTCGAATTGGAAGATGCAACTGGTGAAAGTATTGTATTACAAGAACAACTTCAACAACAAATAGCTCAAGAACAACAAATGCAACAACAAAGTCAAGAATAAAAAAAAATTTTTTTTTATTTTTATAAAAATGTACAGAATAGATGTTTCAGATTTTTATGACTTCCAAGCATTCAGAAATATGTGTCCATTTCGAGACTATAACAAAGCAGTCGAGAATTTGAAACGTTTAGTCATTTATGTCGACTCTGCCCCAGAATGTTATGTTATGAAAGAATGGGATGTAGTCTTTAACAAACCTAAAGCAACAATAGTTTCAGAACAAGAATGTAGACAGAAACTTAAGAAAATAAAAGTCGTACAAGTTGGCATGAAGATGTTAGATGCTTGGGATATCTTATTGTCAAAGTTAGAAGATTTTTCAGTTCGAGGTATAAAGTTCTATACACCTTCTCCAAACTTCTATTCTATCTTCACTGGATATAAATACGAACAAGTAGAATGGAAAGAAAATATTATAGAAGCTTGGTTAGACCATGTCAAAGAAATTATATGCAATGGAAACGAAAGAGTCTATGAGTATATCTTATGTTGGTTTGCAAACATCTTACAACATCCAAGTGCTAAAAATGAAACTGCTCTCATTATAATTGGAAAACAAGGAACAGGTAAGAATACTTTCTTTACAGATATCTTATGCAAACTGTTAGAGGGCTATTCGAATCCGAATATGACAAACTTAGAAAACATCTGTGGCAAGTTTAACTCCTCAATAGAGAATATGAAACTTATAGTTTGCAATGAACTTCAAAGTATAGATACAACAAAAGTTTTGAACTCAGATGCTTTGAAGAGTCTTATAACAGACAAAGTTGGAGTTGTTGAAAGAAAGTATAAAGACCAAAGAGTTTGTGAAAATGTTGCAAACTTCATTATGGTTTCAAACAATGCTGTTCCGATGAAGTTAGAAAGTTCTGACAGAAGATATGTAGTTGTCAGAACGTCAGAAGCTCATATGCAAGATACAGAATATTTTGACGACTTAGCAGAAACTTTGACATCTGACTTTTACAACCACTTGTTCTCATACTTTATGACATTAGATATTTCAAAGTTCAATCCAAGACAAATTCCACATACCGAAGAGAGACAAACATTGTTAGAAGCAAACAAGAGTGTATATGAACTGTTCATAGATGAAACTGACTTTGAGTGTTTAGATGAAAGGTCATTGTACGATTCGTATAAACAATATTGTCAAGAATATGGTTATATGACAGCGTCTAAACGAACATTCTTGGCAAATGTCAAAAGTCTTTTAGACGTACAGAATGGTGTATATACAAAGAAAAATTTTTCTGAGTAAATTTTAAAAAAAAATATTTTTTTTATCCGATAGAAAAAGATGGCAAAATTCATCTCAGTAAACAAGTACATGTCAGGACTTAAAGAAGAACTAGACCCATTCACATATTTGAATGTTTACTTCTACCATTTTGAAAAGTCTTCATTCAGCAAAGTTTGGAACATCGAACCAGTTAAGTTTGCTATTGTGACTAAAAATGGTGCGAAATTTGAAGACTTAGACATAGAAGGTTTGTTAGCAGTCAAAGAAAGTTTTGACAGAAGGTTTTCAAACCTTAAAGAAGGCAAAGCATACAAACTTGTTATACCTTATGAACCAAAGAAAGCAGACGACTATGAATATTATGAGTCTAAAGTTGTAGAAGTTCAAGGTAAATTGGGTAAAAAGATTTTAGAGTCTAAGCCAGTGTTTGCTCCTAAAGAGGAAGAGAACATTGACATTGACCCAGAAATGTTCTAAAAATAAAATTTTATTTTTACATGTCAAATTTCTTTTTCTCTGGAACTGGTTCAGGTTCTTTCTTCTCTTCTTCTACTTTCTTTTCTTTCTTTTCTTTTCTTCTTCTTTCTGGTGGAGTTATGTCAAATTTGGCGCAACTATATTTATGTAAAAGTTCTTTGTCCTTTAATAGCTCTTCTATTCTGTTTTCTATTTCATCTTCAAGAACAGCGCATGTGTCTTCTTTGCATTCTAAGAAGTTTTGTTGGACTTCATCTTTCCAAGAGGCGTCATCTCTGTCAACAAGTCTGTCATTGACAAATTTTAAGACTTCTCTGCTTAATGTTTTATGGTTCTTGTCATATTCCCAGAAACAGAACTTTAGAACAAATTCACCTTTCTTGTTTACACTATGTAAGATTTTATGGTCGACAGATGTTTTGCTGTCGAAAAGCTTGTCTCGAATATAGATAGCGAAATCGCTAGACATTTTCTAAAAGATAAAAATTTTAATTTTTCTAAAAATATGTTAGAAAAAAAGTTTGCTGACATTGACAAGAAATTTGAGAATGTTTTAAACAAGAACAAGAGGAAGTTAGAAAATGCTCAGATAAAGCCTATACATGACAAGTTCTTATTTGCTCAGAATGGTATAACAGGTCTAATTGCACCACCTGGGTCGGGTAAGACTTTCACTTATCTTAAAATGGCTGCACAACAACAAGAACTAGATGAGAAGAACCCATTCTATGAGTTAGTTGTCATTTGTAGTACTTCTGGTCAATTTGACCAAACCGTCAATTCGTTCAAAGATATTATAAAGAAGTCTAAGTTAGTATGTATAAAAGACTCTGAGTTGTTAGATTGGATAAAGAAGTACCAAAGAAGAGTTTTGAAGTATAATGCTATAAATGAGTATATAAATTCTAAGTTTCAAAGACCCAAATGAGGAAATGCAGAGAATATTAGAGAAGAAACACTTCAGAAACAAACAGAAAGAGATAGAATACATTTCGAAGAAATTGCAATCTTACGATTGGAAGACTTACCCTCATAGATGTCTTCTTATCTTAGATGACTTTGCTTCTCATCCTTTGTTAAAGAATAGAGAACAAGATATGTGTCGAATTCTTAAGAAGCTCAGACACTTTAACATCTCAGTTGTCATTTGTGTACAGACAGCAAAGAGTTTAAGTAAGGATGTAAAGAGAATACTTACTGACATTGTACTTTTCCCCGGATTGTCCGAAGACGATTTCATGGAACTTATGAAAGAGTCCATGGCAGGTAAGTTTGACAGATATGAACTATGGGAGAAGTACAAAGTCATACAAGACCCTCATACTTCTTTCAGAATTCATATCTACGCAAACAAAGTTCAAATTGTAAAAAGTCAAGCTTGAAAAATAAAGAGTTCATTTACTCTGCTTGTTTGAAGTTGTCAAAATACTCTGTTATTTTTCACTGTTTTCATAGAGTTTTGGCGACCCCGAAAAAAGTCGGTCTCGCTGTTCTTCACTGTTTTCATAGAGTTTTGGCGACTACGTTTTTTTACGTACTCGCTGTTCTTCACTGTTTTCATAGAGTTTTGGCGACTAAGGTTTTTTACCTACTCGCTGTTTTCTCACCTGTTTTCTCACCTCTTTTTTTCACAACCGTTTTACATGGTAAACGTTATTTTTACATTATGACACGAAGTGAAGATTTGCACTTCGTCAAATTTTATAAAAAATTAGCGTTATTTTTACATTATGACACGAAGTGAAGATTTGCACTTCGTCAAATTTTTATAAAAAATTAGCGTTATTTTTACATTATGACACGAAGTGAAGATTTGCACTTCGTCAAATTTTATAAAAAATTAGCGTTATTTTTTCTATCTTTCACAAAAGACCAAAAATAAACGCTTTACATGTATTTTTCAGCAACTTCGTCAAATAATTTTATAGTTTATCTATCTCATCTACTTCAAACGTTTCTTTACCTTTTATGGGAGCACCATACATTTTCTCAAACTTTTCAAGTAGTTCTGTTTCTGCAGCTCTCATATCATTAACGAACACAACCTTGACTCTATTGACTGTACGTCATATCTTTGAGTTATATTATATGTTCTTCCTATCTTATATCTCTTTGTATTGAAGTCCTTCGGTTTCTGAACGATGTAAAGTAAGCCTTCACTGCAACGTTCCGTATCGAATGAACCATATGTTATGAAGTTATATCCAACAACTGGGTCAATCCATAACAAAACTATTGGTATAAGACTTTTGTCGATGAGATATGCTGTAGTTCCATAGAATCTTACCGATATCATAAGCTCAGGATTTCTTGTCAAAATTTTCTGACTAGAAGCAATTCTAACCCAGTCCTTTGTTTTCTTTCCAGATGGAGATATAATGTCTGACAAAGAATATTTGTTGTATTTCTTTGAGTATCTTACGTTTAAATCACCTATTCTAACCAATTTGGTGTCATTGTCTATCTTTTTAACTGTTTCAAACTCAATGTTTGTCATTTCTGTTCTTACATACAAAATAAAAAAATAAATAAAAATAAAACTAACTTTATTTTTTCTGTCTTAAGGAAATTCATGAAAAAGTGTCATTTTTTTCATGTCCGAAGACTCGAAGGTGCAACACTTCCAAAATACCGACGAACTCAGAAGAGCAGCATGGCAGTATCTTCTTGACAACTTCTTTGAGTTCTCCAGGTACACCTTGGAAAATGCTGAAGAACTCCGACACAGAGAATTTGGAGAAATTGCACTCCAATACTACCTTGACAAACAAAGGGTAAACAAAGGGTAAAATAAGACTAAAAACTTAACGTTTAAAAAGTGACATTTTTATGAGCTCCGAGTCACCGAGAAAACTTGGTCAGATGTTAGCAGCTTACTTCCCTGAGGAGGATGGAAGCGTTACATACGTAAGGTTCAAAACACAACGAACCTGGAATTGCGTACAAAATTCGCAATTACATGACCATGGAAGAGTACGAAAGGTTCCTACAAGAGAAACCAGCTCTAAACAACTCAGAAAAGAAAGAATAAAAAGTTTAACTCGTAATTGTTTATTTTTTTTACTTGTATGGGCAAGCTGCAAGAATGAAGTCGACTATCTCAGTCTTTGTTTTGACGAGCTGGACGGCTCTTGCGAGTACGTCTGTTTTGCGGTCTCCAGCTGGTGTCTGACCTTCGTAATTGCGCATGTTCTTGAGAGCTCCAACTGTAAATGATTGTAGGATGAAGAGTCTCTCAGACTGCTTGAGGTAGTCGTCACGGTCACGAACTGAATCTGTGTACGAGTCGAATCGGTCGATTTGAGGGAAGAGACTGAAAGCCTGTCGTCTTCCATCGGGGCTGTGGCATAATCTTTGCGTAAGCGGTTCAGACCTTCTTCGAACTCTTGGTCTCTCTTCGATTTGGATTGAGATTGGAATTGCTGGGGTGGAGCTTGCTGGAACATCCAAGGGTTGGGGAAGTAAGGCATAGGCTGAGGAGGAGGGTAGTTCGGGAAGCCTTGTGGTGGGTAGTAACCTTGAGGTGGAAATTGGTAGTAACCTTGAGATGGAAATTGGTAGTAATTTGGTGGAGGACTTGCTGGAACTGAGGTTGCTGAGGAGACTGTTGTGGTTCTGCAGCTTTCGGTTCTTCTGGCTTTGGAAGGCATTCAGGAAGAGGAACGTCAGTCATCCGTTTGTGTCCTGTCGGAAGGAAAAATTTTTTCCTGTCGGAAGGAAGAACTTTTTCTGTCGGAAGGAAAAACTTTTTCTGTCGGAAGAAGAACTTTTTCTGTTGGAAGGAAAAACTTTTTTCTGAAGTTCGACCAAAAAGTTCTCAATTTTCGAAAATTTGAATGGTTTACGAGGACGGACAACTGGAAGAGTTCTTCCTGTCGGAAGGAAAATTTTTCCCTTTGTCCGGAAAAATTTTTTCCAGTTGTCGGGAAAATATTTTCCTGTCGGATGGAAGGACTCGGAATGCCAGAAGGATTTGACGAGGCAATTTACCTAATTGAAATTAACGACTGCGTAAAAGACTCTTGCGCAGGGTAATGAAGCCCAAGGTCAAGTTCACCACTATTTCTGGAAGGTCTACACTTCAGCTCGAGACTTCGACTGGAATTCCAATTCAAATACCAGACGGGACAGCCTACGATGGCATAAAGGACGCCAAAAGAGAAGCTCTTGTTAAGTTCCTAAACAAACGTCCTTGGATAAAAATACCAAACAAGGAGAACCCCCTACCCATATGAAATTGGCAATTCAGTCTCTCCTTCACTTCTCGGGTCAGCCGTTCTACATAACCTGTGAAGGCGACATCCAACCAGTACTGTAAACCTTAACGTTTAGAGTAAAAACATTTTTTTTTCATTTTTTGAATGAAGCAAGTTAAATTCGTCACACCAATCTGAATGGACGATGAAGAGTTTCAAGCCATCGTTGAAGACGTTGAGAACGACATAGACGGCGAACTTAAAGGAGCTCAAATCACAATTGCAACCAAAATTGCAGAGGTCAAGGAACAGATAGCTCCACTTAAAGCTACCAAAGCTACTTTGACCTCATGGATAGTTACCGTTATAGATGTCAAGAGTGGAATAAGACAATTAAAATTAAAACTTCTAAACTACGAAGCTATACTCCAAAAGTTAGCAGAAATGACGAAGACTTTACCAGAGCTACTTACATGTAAGGGACTTACCTTCAAGCAGTCCGACCAAAGATGAATTTGTTGACATTGTCCCAATTTTGTCCGAAAGTCAGCTCAGATGTTTCGAACTGCTCCCAACATATCCGGAATATGAACGTTTGCCTGAACTCTTTCGGTTCCTCAAAAAACGTTTTTTGGTTCATTCCAAACTTTTATCGAAGAGACAACAAACGTTCAGAAGAAGAACAAGATATTATTTTAAACTTGTTGTATGACATAACTGTCATAACAAGCTT